GGAGAGGAGGGGAAGTAGGGAGTTTAGAAGAAATACTGGACACAGAGGTAAAATCGGGGAGAAACAGTGAAAAAAAATAAAGATTTTATTATATAAACAAAACGAAGAGTGAACAATAATATAAATGACTAGGCATGCAGACAATGAAATTAGTAATAATATCAGAGAACAACAAAAATGTCTATGTAAAATGGATACGGACAGACACAGCAGTGAGAGCCAACAACAGTGTTGCACAAGTTGTCACCACCATTACAATTATGCGAAATACCGGTCAGAATCACAAACTGAACACTCCTTGACTCGCTGTGACGGAAGAAATATGTTCCTCCCACTCCGCCACTGCGTACCTTCCGAGACCAAACACTCGAAGCCATGAAAGTGAACCTATGAATTCGCCATATACACCAAATACCAATTTGATGTGAGGCTACATTAATGTTTAGAAGCTTACGTGTTAATAGTGTTCTTTCTCCCCTTTTCAAAGCATAGCTATCTGTAGTTTACCATGGACCGACACATTAATATCTAGAATGAAATTAAACGCCACATTTTACCCGTGCCCCAGAGTCAGGCCGAACCATCCGAAGAACCCACAACGCACAAAATACAAAAGCCACCAACACGAATTACAAAAGCCACAACACAAATACAAAAGCCACAACAACAAACTACAAACAGCCACCAAACACAAATACAAAAGTCACAAGACACGAATAACAAAAGGCCACAAACAAATACAAAAGGCCACAACACAAATACAAAAGCCACAACGGAAATGATCCACAACGGATGTTGACAATGAGAAGTAATCTGGAACTTTATCTGAATGTAGGGCTGCACAATATGAGCAGTTCTGCAAGACAATTTTAATTTCCACTGAAATAATTATGTGACATCTGTACCAAACAAACATGTTTTTTACACCTGGAGAAGAAGATTTGTATGCCAGAGCATCTCTGCAGCATTACAGTGCTTGATGCTGTTTTGTGACACATTTTCTTCTACAATTAAGATATTGCACTTGGCCACATTGTGATTTTGGTAACATTTCGATTAACTGTGCAGCACTATCTGAATATTTCCAAGAGGTGCTTAAGTTTTTTAATTTGTTCTAGTTTTCATTTTCTCGTCTACTATAAGAGCCGCAAATCACGTGACAAGCATGAGCAATCTAGCCAACTAACAATCCTAGTAACTGCTGCAGATAAATAATGACTTTTTTTTGTTGGCACCACTGCAGGCAATGTATCATTCAATCTCCCTATAGTCTTTCTTCCTTGTTTCAAGCTCCAGCAGCTTCACTATCCAATGGAAGGAGTCGGACTCTATGAATGAGCATGTGTGTAACACAATCTCCTCTTGTAATGACAATCCCAGGCTTTTGCTGCAGGTAATTGTGTTCTCAGCTGATGTACCATGAAGACAAGAGGTCAACTACTGAAACGTGACCACCCTTTTTCTTTTTTACCATCAAGGGGCGAGAGGATGTACACACTTTTATATAAGTCTGAATCACTGTGATGTCGCACTAACAGTCACTTCCAGGTAACTGGAAGTTGATTTCGATTGCAGAGATGTGTAAAATCGGCAAATTATTTAGTTTTTGTCATTTTCAGCCGTAACTTTAACATTCAACGATATATACTTTAATATACATTGTGTTTATGTTATGTACTCTGTTGCTCTGCGTCTTTAATATACCTACCTAACAGTGACAACTCACTGCCGGTCAGACTAGTTTTGGGTAAGCTCAAGCTTTCATTTTCTGTTGCCAAACAGGTAAATTAAGTCTCCTACCTAACGTTAGTAAAAGTGTTGTTATTAATGAGTAAAGAAAGTATAAAACCTGCATTTTAGATGAATGAGATGTATACATTTTGATAACACGTGTTCTACCTGGAAGTTATTGTAAACAAGCATTGTGATTGGTTCTATAGCACATCATCATTACCCATAAACAACTCAACAAAAGGAGCTGAAAAGTTCACTTGTTTTCCACCTCAAATTTCCATATTGGTTTATGTTTTTGCATCTACAATATGTTCATAAGTGATAAGTATTATAGTATATGAGACTGTGTGCTCCCTATCTATCATTTTATAATGCACAGGATAGTGTCATAGTGCGTCAGTAATGGTACTGGTGTATAAAGTTCAATAAATTAAGGAAATTCAATTCATTGTAATGAGAAATAAAAAGTACACAGAATGAAAACCTTGATTTGACCCTTACCGGCTGGCTGGGATTACTCTGTGAAGAGGCAGTTTGTTCAGTTTCAAGGGAGTCCAGTGGCTGTTCTGTAAGGGTGAGGACACGCGGTGGGGCCTTCATGTTCAGGAGGTCCACGGGAGGGATGGACTGAATTAAGTCCAAGTCTCTTGGTCGGGAAAATAGAGGGTCCCCATCATCACCTGTGGGGGAAGTAAGGAGTGGAGGGACAGTTAATGAACAAAAAAGATTTATTTTGAACAACTGACATCTATCCAGTTATTCAAAAATCCTACTAATCCTGTCACCATGGCTGAAGGTTTGGCTTGCCTGTTGAGTATCCCCCACAAAAATAAGTTAATGTGTGGAAATACTAATTCCAAACTACAGAACAATAGGAGAGGAGGTTCCTATCTGAGCTGTCATAACTGTGATGCAGTTTGTCTCCTAACAAAACGTAAAGTAATTCCACTTTAAGAAGTATATATTGATGATTATCGTGATAATATCATGAATAGCAATCTTTCTGGCCAGGATAATCGTGACATGAAGTGTTTATATTGTCTCATGCCTAGTGCAGGTTATTTTTTGCCATGCACCCTTTTACTAAAGCCCCATCTGCTGGCCTCACCTGCTACCACGATCCTCTCTGGCACCTGCATCAGAGCTGTGTGAACGGGCAGGGGTTGCTGAAGTGGCAGAGACCCTGTTTGTTTCTCCGAGGCCACCTTGAGGGTCTCAGGGATTCGCATGCGCTGGCTGATGCCCTCTGTGTACTCCAACTCATAATGAATGCGGCTCATCTCAGCCGCCTCTGCAGAGGGGGAGGTGAAGGTTGGCCCACTCATCCAGCCTGTAGACACATCAAATGCAAAAACATTTTAAAAATAGTACAGGCAGGACTGGTGTGCAAGTTAGACTGTAGACATGTCAGCTACACCTCAGTGATGGCATTATCACAGAGACAGGAGGGTGAAAATATGTCATAATCCCACCATAGATCCCATCTGTGAGCCCTGGATGTTTGCCAGCTCCCTCAAATTAAAATGACAAATATGGTGAATTTGGTCCTTGCTAATTGGCTCAGTAGCTTAGAGTACTACCTAAAACATGTGTCCCGCAGAGGAACAAACTACAGCCCGACCACAAGGTGGAGGGTAGACGGGTTGTCAGCCAAAGCTAATAATACACATTAGAAATGACACTTCACGTTGTGCTACATGACATTAAATAACGTAGACATAGCTGCTGTTGACACATGGTTTCAATGTCAGTGAAAGAAAATCCACACAAGACGCCATGTCTAGCATGTTAGCTACTGTCTAGCTAATATTACTAGTCTGACTAGCATTAGCTAGTGTTATCTTTATCATAACACGTTAGCTGACTATCTGCAGGAACAGGCGGGCTAACCAGAGCTAACCAGAGCTAACCAGGGCTAACCAGGCTTCAGCTTCTGTGACTACTTACCGTAATGGTTTCAGCCCCGCAGTTTAAAATGTCATGTGTCAAAACGTTATGTAATATTAAAGCATCAACCGGGACGGACGACGAGTAGAAACCGACACACACACCGCTTCAAGCTTGTGTGAGAGTGTGTGAGTGAGTGTGGTGTGTGGTGGTGCAGTGATGAGTGGTGTGGTGTGTGTGGGTGTGTGTGTGTGTGTAGCCGCTCCTAACATCCCCCGTGTGTGTCCGCGGGGGCGGAGCCTATCTGATCTGCATCAGTCCAACCGAGCCGCAGCAGCAGGTGGCACCCAGGTTGGAAAACGAGCGCACACAATTATCACACTCAAATGAGTTGGTTCACATAGTGTTTATGTAATTGGCCTTAATACAAAGCTTATTTAGTCTGCTATTAACACTGAGGTTAGGTC